GTCATAAGCCCAAAAGAGCTTGCGTTTGTCTTAGGAGCCGATTCTATTTCTTTTTTCTGCCTAATATTTTATGTCAACCAGAAATGATTTTATAGGGTATTTATTTCGGACCAAAGATTTTCATTTCCTACTCGTGCTGAATGCACAGTGTGGTTTTGGCTTGATCTTTTCAGACACATGAATAACTATCCCATTTCATGCTGTCATTGCAATTATTTATCTGGACTGGGCTTTCCAAATAAAAGCCTCATTATTTCTTTTGTTGGAGATGCATTGAAAAACAACTGTTCACATGTGGCATTGGGGGGAAGCACAGTCTTCCGACCTCTCTGTTACTTAATGATAGAATGCACACTTTAAAAAAAAATAAAGTAAACCACAGACAGAGACAACGCAATGCTCTGCTGCTTCGTCATACGGAAACCGAGGCAAGCTGTCTGGTGCAGTCAGGTTTTACTGACACACACAAAAGTCTAAGCAGATGTTTTTGACCAAACTTTTAGTTCAGTATCTCAGCTGTATGTCATTCTACTCTTCTCAGCAACAGCATCGCCAGTCCCGTTATGAGACTTCAGAAGTAAAAACAACAACAACAACAAAAACAACAAGAGCCTTCACATCCTTCCATAGAATAACCTTCAACTCTTATCTGTGTTTCTGGCTTCAAATCCACCAGCTCAGCTGTTTTTTTAAAAGCGTACGGATGGCACGTACTACTAAACACCAAATTAATGCTACATCTGGATCCATGCCATCTGCAGAGGCAAGAGCTGTAACTGTGAAGTAAAATGGATCAAAAGCCTTGAATTAAGTCCTTGTTTAATGCAGAGGTAATCTGTGCTGTTAAGCCCAACCAAAACAGTCCTTAGCCAGAAGACACAGCGGGTGTCTACACTGTGTTTAATGACCCTGACACAATTAATGTCCTCAACTTTGGTCTCCAGACTCTTTGGGTCAGACAAAGGCCAATACAGTCACGTACGCCGGTCATTATGCAGGGCTGCAAGAAGAAGTGTCACCAGCGGCCACCTCCTAATCATGGAAGGACTTTATTGTGCTCATGGTTTAAACCAACCTCCTTGACTTTAGTTTGGGATAGGCTGGCGGAGAGGTGTTCATACATCTGGGGCTGGTCTCTGGAGGACAGACAAGACTACTGCCTGAGACTCAAGCAGTGCCTACTATCCTCCAGCCAAATGTATGAGTCGTCCTGTGGCCCGACACAGACCTTGACAGCAACAGCGTGACAGCAACTGATCCGCAGAAGTCCAGGGTTCAGGCTGTGTTTGCAGCATAATCTTGGGACCCTGAACAAAAGGGCACTGAAGGAGCTTTTCTTACCATGTTTTCTTCCTTTAAGAGTGGCAGTTGCTGTCCCTAAACAGTGGGACGGGAAAAGGATGATAGCTTGATCACGCAGTTCCTTAAACTTTTCTGCTAGTACACAAAGCTTAATAAAGAGCTTAGGAAGAAAAAAGCCTCCACCCCAGGATAGGTAACACGTAGGTCTGAAGTGCAACGCGCATCTGGGAGCAGACCAGTGAGAGCAACGAAACCTGCCCAAGGTGGACTGGGTGCAGCAGCAGCTGCTGGCTCAGGGCATGGGCCTCCCTGCCCCAGGAGCTCAGCATCTCAGCCCGTCACGCGTTCCTTCAAGGGCAGCCCACGGAGCGTTTGCTGGAGGCTTGCAGAGAGCTGGTTGCTAACATGGTCTTTTTGAACCACTACTTCCATTAAAAGAAGCAATTCCAGTTTCTTGCTTTTCCCTTTGTCCTCAACCACTCTTGCTCCCTGAGGAGGTTTGCAGAATCAGTAATGAGCTGGGCCATGGTCTGTATGAAAAGGGTTATGTATGGGGGGAAGAAAAAGAAAAAATACAGCCCTGCTACCAACAACCCCCTTCAGCCCTTCTAACCTCTGTCATTGCGCAAGGCAGGATATCTACCACAGGCAAATGTCTTCCCAACTGGTACAAAAGACCTTCTTGGTCTCGGAGCCACATGAATTAGCACACACTGACACCGCCTGCTCTGTGATTTAATGCCCTGGAGGGAAGCAATACGTACCACATGCTGAAGGTGCTTTTAATAAGAATGGTTATTAAAGAAAGCGGGGGCACAGATGTTTGCCACTCGGAACGGCACTGAAATAGATGGTGCAGAAAGAACAGAGCGAGCTCTGACGGAGGGGCTTGGTGACACTTTGCACGCTGAGGTTTTCAATTCCAGTTCCCGCTCTCACCTTCAGCCACCAAATTATGCTCAGCTTCTACCAGAGGCAGCTGCAGCACTTTGTGGCTTTCAGGGCAGTGTTTTTCACAAAACAGGAATTTGAAACAAAGAAGTAAGTTTATTCTCATGCTAGTTTTTTCCTCTTTTAATCACATTTTCTGAAGCTGTTCACATTGATAGTAGTTCTTCGCTCCAGCAGAATGTAGGAGATGGGGTGTGGACCAGGAGGGAAGAGATGTAGCAATAGGAAGGAATAATATTTAGCAGCTCTTCCCATCCCTTCCTACCCTTTTTTACTGATTTTGCTTCAGTAGAAATATTCCAGCCAGCTCTATTTCATTTGGCACCTTTCTTCCAGATGGGAAGGAAAGCTCTAACTTCACTGCTGGCACAAGCCTCGTGTTCTGACTACGTCTAGTGGTCCCGGCGAAGGGTTGCTGCACAGATGGAGGCACTGAAACTTGCACCTCTTGCTTCCCCAACTGCTGCACCACAATTTGTGGGTGGAGGAAGATCCTTTCTAACACTTGGCCAAGAACCCAGTACCTGAATTTGCCTCTTTCTTCAAGCCTCCAACAACTGTGCTCCAGAGGTAGGTTTGAGGACAGCCTCTTGCTCCTGGTCTGCCAAAGAGCAGCCCATCCCAGAGGCATGTGAAGGAAGAGGGAAAGGGAGTGATGGAGCAGCTATAAGGGAATTGGCTCCACATTAAAGGCTAACAACAGGCCACTGCCTACCCCACAGATGCCCTTTATTTAACTCTCCCCTTACTGTGCTAACGCATAAAATATGCAAAATTTCCTTTTTGCTGTTAAAATGCTTCAGTTTTGAGGCCAGCTTGGCACTTTGCTGGGATAAAACAAGGTTTCCTTAAACTCTGTTTTAATACTCTGTTTATAAATAAGGGTTTGGCACATGCAAATGATGGCAAGAAAACAAAACCGGCCATATTACAAAGTGCAATATGTGCTTCCATTAGTTGTTGTACGCACCCTACCCAGCCCAACCAGTGCCTGCTCTCTGCCAAAGCCTCTCTGCCTGCTTAGCCACTGGATAAAAGTGTTCCCTTTGCTACAGAAAGGAAGACAGGAACTGTTCTTGAGAGGATGCTGCTCAGACAAAGCATTAAAAATCAGTTCAGACAAAATAAGACATGGATTCCTTAAGAACAAGGAGAGAAAATAAATGGGGATGGTTCCTCTGCAAGCCTCAGATATCTGGACACGCTGGAGATGCTCAGTTATCTTGGCCACAAGAGGAGATCAAGAAGCTGTTGACATCCCAGGAAAACTACTAGCCCTTTAGATAACATTGGCATGAACTTCAGAAGTGCTGAGCCCTGGGTTTCCCCGTATGCCAGGGAATTACTTTTTTCCTTATGTTGCCCACTAAGAAGAGTTGGGTGGGAAGGAGTTCTTGTGGTACAGGGTCTCAGCTCTTCCAACATCAACTACAAGAAGATCATTTTCAGTTTTGAGAATTTTCCCTGCAAAGGTCTCAAGAACAGCTGGAAAGGAGTAGCTGTGTTAATCCTAGCAAGACCTCACTGCAAATGTTGTAGCAGAGCAGTCTAAACCCTTTTGATTTAGTGGCTGCTTTCCAAGGGCTAAAACATGTTTTTCTCCTATGATATTTATTGACTGACAAATATCAGTCCAGCCCTGCCCTCCTTTAAGTTACTGGAAATCGTCCCCTCCAGCTCAGTGTAACACAGCCAAGCCCTTGGACTTGACAGACCAATTTGGACAGGCACTGGTGTTTCAGTAGCTGTGGGATTCTGACTATGGTGCCTCCGGGTCTCGCCCCACCTTGAGAAGGGAGAAGCTGCTCAAAAGACAATTCCTTCGCAGTACAGACACATCATTCTAAAAATACAGGTTAACCGTAATGCGTGATTGTAGAGTAACTAGATGAGTGAGGAAGACTTTGCTACAGTCCAGTATTAGTTACAAATGCTTCGTATCTCACGTCACTTGGTGACATTTCTAAATAGCAGCCAAGACAGGAGGAAAAGCTATACAATTCCTCCCTAGAAGTTATTTTGAGAAAAATCAAAGTCCACTTTTGTAAAACACGTCAAAAGTTAAGATCAGATGAAGTTAAATATTCCTCAATTTATTTTCATTTTCCCCAGGCTTTGTTTCTCCTGTTAATGTTCTACAACTGACAGTTAAACCATCAACTGCCACGTTTAAACCCAGAGCTGCAACTGTTGCGGTTGTGCAACGCCACATATATGATTGTTTTCAGCGCTGTATTGTTCCAGCCAACCTTTGGCATAACCACTCTCTTCTCAGGTTTCATGTTCCTAAAAAATCCCAGCAAGCCTTCTCACCGCAGTTACTTTAGCGCTACGAATACAATTTACGGCAGAATTTTATTGCAAAACGATCTGTATGACTGCGTTTTTTCTAGCGGTCTTTTTTGCTCTTTCAGCAATGCTTTGAAACTGCCGTGCTAAACAAGGAGACCGATGCTAATCAAGCGTTTTATCTTGTTTATAACCGGGAAGCAATGGAAAATTGTGTAAAGGAGGGGAAAAAAGTCCGAAGGACCTTAAGTCTAAGGGCGAGACAAAGGACCAGCTGGACTATGGACTTCAGTGAGTTGCACTCGGTGCGGCTTTAAGCCCGATCATGCAGGACAGGGCAGACACGGGGGAGCAGCAGCACTAATTCCAGTTTACCCAAGTTTTCTCCCGTCCTTTCCCCCCTCGCGCTGGGCAGCAAGAAACACGGTAGGTGCCAAAGCAATCAAGACGGGGCTTACCTGTGCACTTCCTTTTAAAGGTTTCATAGTCTACCCCTTGGTCTCCAGGGACGATTGTAGAGCCGTTGTATTTAAAAGTCACCCTTTGGGATGGGGAAAAAAGAAGGGGAATGATACATTTAAAAGTCGCCCTTTAGGAAGGGGAAAAGAGAAGGGGAATCATGCGTTTAAAAGTCACCCTTTGGGATGGGGAAAAGAGAAGGGGAATAACACACTTAAAAGTCACCCTTTGGGATGGGGAAAGGGAAGGCGAATAATATTTTTAACAGCCTTTGGGAAAGGAAAAGGGCGATGGGGAAGGATATACCATAAAGAACATCCTTTAGGAAGGGGGGGAGAGGAGAAGGGGAAAAAGGTCTATAGAAGTCACCCTTTCGGGAGGGGGGGAGAGGAGAGAGGAGGAGGGGAATCACAGAGCACCGGTGCCTCTCGGGGAGATGCCGGGGGCCACCTACCAGTTCACCTCGGTGG